TCGTGCACGTCATTGTTGGCGTGGGCGTGCGTGTCCATTGACATCGTCGTTGGCATGGGTGGGTGTCCGTTGACGTGGTGGGCCTCGCGTTGGGGTGGTGTAGTTGTGATTGGGTGGTGGGTGACGAACGTAGATGGCAGTGGTGCTTGGTTCATCGCATGGGCGCTCACTTGTTGTGTGACGTGGCACTTGCGTGTCGTCCTGACTGCGTTGCAACGTGCAGTCATTGTTGAGAGTGGTGGGTGATGAAGGTGGATAGCAGTGGGTGACGACGGTGGATAGTGGTCAGTGTTGGTGAAAGTGGGTAGGGGGTGACATGAACGATGGTGGGGGAAGAGAAGCAAGAGAGGAATAGGGTTGAGGGTTGTTGACAACGCCCAAATCGAGTCTCGGCAAACACCGATGCTTGATTTGTGTGGGCATTGTCAGCATTCCATCAATGGATTCTGTTCCAGATGCATTCCGGACATCATTCCATCTGTCTGATTCCAGGAACCATATCAGTGGAATCGGAATTCCGTTCTAGATTCCCCGGAATCACTTAATAAATTTGGCAGTGCATAACTCAGACCCATCTCAGACATGGGAACACAAACTATTACTTTGTAGTATCAAGAGCATGATCATGCTACCAAGTAGTTGAGGAGCAACACCCACCATTAGCAATGCAAGCAAGAAGTCTGCACAGGGGCCCACAGGCACCTTCATCACCACTCGCTACCAGATTGATGGTGAGATTTTTCCAGGCCAAACTCCCATTGCTCACATGATGCAGCGGCATTTCAGATTGCCACCGGCACCCCCGGGAGTTTCGAGGAGTATTTGCAACACTAGGAGTTGTTGGATGAGATATTCCTCTACCAGAGGCCAGCTGACCTTCTGTCGCATGTCAAGTCCCTTGCTCCAATGGCTCAATTAACCAAAACAGAACTGGAAAACGGCAAACTCTTCACAGAGCATGCAACCCATGTCTTTGATTTGGCATTGTTCGAAAGCCTCTCCCATGTTCTGTCCGACTTTCTATGGAAAGGAACATCGCCATCTATGGGAGATATCCATGGCATTGCTGTCAAAGCATGGATTAACCTCCAATCGAATCAGCTCACAAACAAAGATTTTATAAACTCGTTCGCAATCACACAGAAAAACTGGCCAGGGGTGACAGAGTATGAAAAGGCAGCCACCGACCCATGGGCAGTAGGAGCCAAGGCAGCTGGCAGGCGTGGATGGTACTTCCAACAACTACAGAAAGCTGTAAGTCGGTGGCTACTACATCAGGCAAAGTATTGATGGTGATGTTGATCACCCTTTCTCTAGATCCCAACATTTGTTAGGTACTGTATTATGCGATGCTGTTTGGTCTGCAAGTGGGAGTTTCAAAACATTCAAGTTCCTGACAATGACTGCAGGGTACAAGGAATCCCTGGGAAGCTGGTGAGCCTCACGGTTGAAGGGCAATGCAGCCCAGTCAAACATTGCGCAATTCTAAAAATAATCAGGACCTCGCTCATTTACTGGCATGTGGCACTACCACAAGACCCTACCAGCCCACCAACTTTGGACAAGGGACAACTTGCTTCCCCGCACCTTGCAGTGGCTGCAAAAGCATTTTATGAAAACTTCAGCCAACCGCCAAGTAAATACCGGTCCATTATTATGACGGCACTGAACCGAATGCAAGGTGCTTCGGCAACAGCGACACACTATGCCTTCCCTTTACACTCTATTATCTTCCCCTGTGCCATTGTAAGAGCATTCATCTTTTTCCATCACATGATCCCACAATTTTCTTTCAGATGAGAGGGGAATTTCACTTCCAGCTCCAGGGCTGGCATGATAGATGTGGTCCCGACCCTTGGGAGGCCCAGATCTTCCTTAACATAGAAACTGATGCAGGGCATTCAGTAGATACACTATGGAACCATAACAATAGAAATTGACAATTGTCCCAATAAGTCATAGGACTACCCCAATGGGCCCAATTACAAAAGACATTATGATACTATACATTGGCCCAACAACATGACAATATGTATATTTGATTGTTGGGCCCAACGACGGTGCCACAGTCCAAGCTAAGGGTTTATAGATTGGCCACATGGCTTAAATGGGGGTAATTTTGGCCGTTGATATATGATGGTATTAAGGTACCATTGATAGTTGGGCCCAATGAAGGGAAATCGTTAAGGGAGATGGTTGGGCCCAATGGCCCAATTATTAAGCTACGGTTGATGGTTGGGCCTAATGTAAGGTATTTGTTATGGGAACAGGTTGGGCCCAATGGTAAAATTTCAATGCTATGGCTTGTAAGTTGGGCCCATGCCATGATATAAGCAATAGTTCATAGGTTAGCCCAATGATTATTTGAATTTTGCAGGTGTGGGCTTTAGTCTGGTAAACCTGTGGGTCCACTCCTGTTCCATTTGACCCACAGCCGCACAATTGTGCATTTACACCCGTGGGTTGGCTATTGTGCAGTTACCCCCACAGGGTAGCTCTTGTTACGTTACCCCTGCGGGTCGCCACGTGGGCCAGATCATGTTCTGTTACCCCTGCGGATCAACAATTGATCCATTACACCCTCGGGCTGGCTGTTGTCCATTACCCCCATGGGGCAGCTCTTGTTCCGTTAGCCCTGTGGGTTGCCACATGGGCCAGATTATGTTCCGTTACCCCACGGGTTGACAATAGGTCCATTACACCCGCGGGATCTTATTCTGTTACACCCACAATGTCCAGCTCTTGTTCCCTTAGACCTGCAGAACCTTCTTCCGTTTGGCCCACAGGTTTCCAATTACAGCCACGGACCATTTGTGGCTCCCCCGCGGGTCTCCAATTACAGCCACGGACCATTTGTGGCTCCCCCGCGGGTCTCCGATTACACCCACGGATTACCTGCTGCTCTGTTACACCTGCAGCCACCCATAGACCACCTGCTGCTCCTTGACCAATTGGCCCTCTTCCATCAGCCCCCCACCTGTGGGCCACATTTGCAGCTGGCCTGCAGAATGGACCAACAATTGTGCCTTTACATTCACAGACCATTATTCTGTTACACCCATGGACCAGCAATTGTGCCGTTACATCCACAGACGAGCTCTTGTTCCATTACACCCACGGGCTGCGCTCTCATCCACGGACCTGCTCTTGTTCTTTTACCCCCACAGACCAACAATTCTTTTATCCACTGATACGGAGTGTAACAATACACCTGTAAAAATGCGAATTTTAGCAATTTCTCCTATAAAACCTCCTATAGTAGAAATACAGTCACATTGATCATAAGGATCGTTAGACGCAACCTGGTCTAGTCGATTAAAGTCTACATCCGAGAAATGTGCACGCCTTAGGCAGTAGGAATTGTGGTCGGTTCGTGACCAAATCACTTCAATATACTCGAAGTCTAATAAAAGGCTACGCTACCATGAAATAGGACACTACCGAGTGTTCTAGAGTAAAGACACCCCCGCACAGGGTGTTGGAGTTTACACCAAACCAGGGTCTCACTTTATTATGGATTATAAGATATTAATTCTAAAGATAAACGTGCGAGTGTAGAAACTCGACGCATACCTGATGTGAGGAGAAATATTGGCTGATGTGCAAGCCATATTGTGGTACACCACTGAACGTAAGTGTCCCCAGGGTAGTGGAACAGCTGTTGGAATGTCTAATGGACAATGCAACCAAAGTTGTTGTAACTCTAAGAGTAGGTCGTTCCAGCCAATCGATCAATGGCTAGGAGCCATGGAATGTGACAGTTCATAGTACCCATGCTCCGATCTTCATGGACACTCCCATTGGAGAGTGCTATGATTATGCAAGTCGTGAAGGTGCCTCCACATGTATTGCCTAGTATTCAAGTTAGAGCTGTTAGTAGGGCTTCAAGTTGAGCAACATGAGCAATAGTGGTTAAAGAGATAGATTCCCTCATGGACTACATGAGGTGTAATGTACAAAATAGATGATGTAAGCAGAATCTGACTAAGCATATGGTAACAGACAGACTGATAGTTCCATGATGTTGGGGAGTGGAAAGAGTAAGATGTGTGTGTAGGGAGTTGCTTACTGGACTGACATACTACACATATTCTTCACTGCAGTAGACCTATGTTTCTGAAAACTAGAGAGAGTTCTGGGGATTGTTACATTTACCATGCTAGCTATATTTTCTCACTCCTAGAGATATGTTCCTGAGCACTGGAGAGAGTTCTAAGGATTGTCAGGGTCTGATGTTTCATGTAAATGTATGTGATGTGATGTATTCATGTTTGTTGGCTATAATGACATATTAAATTTCTTCAACATCATCATGACTGCTGGTACTTTACTGTGCCCCACCAATATCTGCAGAAATGGCTAGAATCCTCCAGAATTCTGATCTCTCTATTAGAAATATTTGAATTTTCTTTTTTAGACATGGATTTTAGACTTTGACAACAGTACCCAACAAGAAGTCCCATTTTTTCTCATTTTTACCATGTTTTATAAATGATTTCATTTAAAATAGTAATATTTCTCATTTAAAATGCAAAATGGACTCTGAAATCAGCCCTGCAACATTATGACCACCAGTAATTACCATCTACATTTTCTCCAATGTTACTCTCATTTTATTATGATTTTCTAGCCATATTTACACAAATTACCTTATTTGGAAATATGCACAGATCATATCCACCATGCACCCACATTGTAAGTAACAGTTAATAGTATGTCTGTTCTTTTTTTCTGTTTTCTTTTCTGATTCTCACACTATATTTGTATCAATTGCTATATTACAAAATGCATACAAACCATGTATATGGTACCTCAATATTCCTGACAATAGTCCATTATTTTTCTCTTTTTCCTATAATTTTATGGCTATATTTTCATTATAGACTATATTTGGAAATATGCACAGACCAAGTAAACAGTACACCAAGACCTATTTACATCACATGATTTTTCTTATTTTTCTAATTACATTTGTATTAATTACTATATTAGCAAATATGCACAGGCCATGTACATACCCAATATTGTCAACAACAGTCCATTTTCTTATTTTTCTGGCTATATTTGTATCAATTGCTATATCAGAAAATGTGCACAAACTATGTTCATAGTATGTCAATATTGTCAATAATAGTACATTATGTTTCTGTTTTTCTTCTAATTTTCTAGCTATATTGTCATTAATTACCATATTTGGAAATATGCACAAACCAAGTAAACAGTACATCAAAATTATCACATATCATTTGAATTTTTTATTGTTTTTCTGCCTATATTTATATTGATTACCATATTGGAAAATATGCACAAACCCTGTATATTGTACCCCAATATTTTCAACAATACTTTATTATTTTAATTTTAATTTTATAATTTTATAAGTTCTCTTCTTATTTGTTTGGCTGTATTTGTATTAATTACTATATTGACCATATATCTATTTTCCCCTTCTTTTTGTCTGATTTTCTATATATATTTCCATAATGGGAAATGTGCACAGGCCTTCAACAATACTTTATTATTTTTATTTTTATTTTTCAATTTTCTAGCATTATTGAATTTCCCTTCTTATTTTTCTGGCTGTATTTGTATTAATTACCATATGA